AGGGGGGGGGGGGGGGGAAGAAAATACAGGCATAGCCAGTTGGCATGGTCACTGCCATCCACCTTCCTCAACAAAAAACTCATTAGTTGTCCAATTTCAGCTAGACAGCTCATTTTTTATATTATACAAAATTTTATGGTTTTACTTATTTCCAAAAGCCACCATCCTGAAAAATAGGAAGATGCATAAAGCAATAAAATGGCATCAAATGCAAGTATAGTCTGATTATTTTTATTCTCTGGATGCAAGATTAGAATCTTAAAATAAGTATGATGAGTCTTCTGGATTTAACCCCTTGAACTAAAAGGATTGGTCCCAGAAAGAATTGTGAAGGTGATATTAAAAAGTACAATGAATTATAAAGTGTTTTTAAAGGAAAATGTAAAAAGGATTTGCCTTAAAACCATCATGTGGAAACCACTTTGCAGAAGTTATCTAATCCCAACCTACCATCCCTGTTTAGCTAGCCATGAATCATGTGCATCTGCTGCTTGATCAAACATTCAAATCCAAATCAATTACTGACAAGGAAATAAATAAAAGCTTTGCAAGTGGATTCTGTTTATATTCTTTCAGAGAGGACATGGAATAGATCTTTGGGAGAGGTATTAGAACAGCAGCAAAAAATCTACATCTGGGTCAGTACGTCCAGTTAGAGTTTTGGTAAGATTTTTTTTATTTATCAGATTATGGATACAAATCCAGCAAAAGGCAGAATTATTCTCATTTGAGCATTTTTGTAGGTTGAAAGAAGTGAGCATAAATTATTTTCTTGCCCAAATACGCGAGCAACTTAAGGAGGTCAGGATCAAGAAGGCATGTTTCCCAACATCTGAACATAAATCAGAAGTGCTGTTTGCCTTTATTAAGTAAAAGCAAAAATTGATTCCAGCATTTCAAAGTAGTAAAATCTATATCTACTCTGAGGCCCCAATCATCCACTGGCTGAATGTGGAGGTGGAGTAGTGAACCAGGGCAGATCAACAAGCAGGGTTGGGATCCTCGTGTACAGAGAGCATTGTGGCAACAACATTTGAAATTATGATCAATTTTCTTAGAGACTTACGAGCATTAAATGAAGACTTTGTCTGTCATGGTGAGCAATCTAATCCACCCACCACACATTCAGGCTGAAACTTTCTCTCTACTTTATAAACCACTGTTTTCATTCTTTCATACCTTTCAAAATGACCCTACGGGTACTAAAATTTCTCATGAATAATCTCAGTGATTAAAGTAGAAGCAAGTGACTTCACAGTTTAGAATATGCATTCACAGAAACACCACTGCCTAGCTTTCATCCAGCATTAATAATTATGTTCAATTTCTTATTGAAATTTAACTCTAAACTTCTGGCCTAAACTATCAGTTTTTATTCTCATTTGGAAAATAATTAAAACCAGAAAAAATTCTGGTTACTATTTTATCCAAAATTTCACTTTTTCATCTCAGACCATACAAGTACTTGGGTGAAGAAGCTTTTGGTACAGCAGCAAAACCATTACATGTTCTTATTTTTAGTACAGTTGGTTTTTCTATTTTCTATACTAAAACAGTATAAGACTGGCAGATAATCAATTCAGCACTTTATTAAACTCATCCCAGATATGGACTTGCCTGAACCCCTTCTGTTTCTAATACCCTCAGTCTCTTACAGACTTTTTAGCTATGTTTTCACATTTAGCTAGAGAAAGATTGCCTCTATACAGCATTCTGTCAGCGTAAATCTTGAGTTACTGTTTTGTTTTTGAACTCCAAATTAAATCCCACAATGATTCTTCTGTCTCCTACTCTCCCCTGAACCTGTCACCTGCATAGTGGGTTTATTGGCTCTGGGAAATAATATGACAGAACCTACTGGAGAGAAGAATTCTAACTTTGTTTTTGTTCTCTCAGCCTCCTAAGGCTTTTTCCTGCATGTTGAAGAACCATTGAGCTATCAAATAAAATCAGTACTTGAATTTTTTTCAGCTGTCAGAACACTCTCTCTTTGTTGCAAGTAAATGGGCAGGTAGACAAAACAAAAACCCTGAGAGCCACAAATCTGAGTCTTGATTTTCCTTATTTGATTAAGGTCAGGATTGGCTCTTATATTTCCAGCACTAGGTTATATATGGGAATGCAAGTTGGATGTTATGTAGCACCCAATGATATTTATAAGATGCTGCTTCTTTTAGAACTCAAGGAGCACGATCAGAATTAAGGCAGGCAGATTTCCAACATGAAAATAAAATTACATCTGTCGCCTCTGTTATCATTTGACCAAAATTTTAAAAAAATAGTTTAAACAACAATATTTGGACAAGGATTTAATAGTTTTCAAAGAGAAAGTGTATCATCTCATAATTAAAGTGGAAACAGAGCTGCTTCATGGCAGTCTTAAACAACTTAATCCTGAGCCCACTCCCACAATTATGGAAGTCAATAACAAAAATCCTTCTTATTCCAACAGCAGCAGCTTTGTTTTCCACACTGCAGTTGGTGATAGAAGTGCAGACATGACTTAAATTAATTTAGAAACTCGCCCTAAAGAAAATATCTTCTGAGGGACATTTGCAGTAGATGTAGTAATATGAATTGTGTTCCTTTATAGCAGCACACTGCAGACATTAGCAACTGAACCACTGTGAGCAGGTACCCTATGTATTGTTGTCAGTCAAAGGCAGAAAATACCAATATACAGAAATCCCTTACTGCTGCTTGCCGATGAGTATTGGAGAGAATCCCATGGATTTTTACTTTGTCTTTTTCCATTTGGTCTATGTTCACCCACAAATCCCGGCTGGTAGATTCAAATGGGCCATATGTTCTCGAGGTATAGTAATTATGATCCGTATCCTCCTGGGAAAAAAACCCACAAACAAAACCAAATATAGATTAAAACAGATGTTTTCCAGACATGTATAAAGTTTACCTTTAAAATATCTTGAAATAATAAGGCTAACTGTTCGTTAAAGCAACAGCTGGGACTAAATTGATTCTATAGGAAGTAAACTAACAGGAAAAAGGTATAAAACATAAATCAATTACAGAAGATTATTTTGTTTTTACAACAAATAATACTCTTCCTCATTTTCTCATGTTATTTTCCAGATATAATTTTAATCTTCCCCTACAAAGTCAAATGTATCGCTACTGTAAATACTTTACTGAAATCTATGGTGAAATGAATGCTGACTGTCAAGTGAGTAATGGCTAGTGAATTCCCTGTGACAGCTGTTCTGCTTTAAAATAACAGCAACAAGCAGTTCTACTTTCAGTTAATGCCTTTAAAACAATGGCATTTTTAAGGTGCTCTCTTTTTATTGACCTGCTTCCTACTAGAATGCCCATGGTTAATGTAGAAATTGTTCTTTGAAATTTATGCTTTCAAATCTCCACACTGCTTTTTCATTTTAAATCTGCATGGGTCCTGTTCTACTCAAGACGACATCTGAATGCTTCATGGGAAACTTAGGAATCAAAGTCAGGTGCTTGTTAGAGGTTTCCAGCCCTACATCAATCTTGTCTTAATAAACATTTATTTCTTTTCAAAATAAGAGATAAATATACATATGAGCTAAAGGAAATCCCCCAATTTTTGCAGCTCCTAAAATGACAGTACATAATGTTCATCTTTAAGCAAAGCCAAAAGCAAAAATACATGTGCTTAAGTTTAGCTTTATTTGTATATGCTGTTAGCCAACGAAGTTGTACAGTTTTCCTACCAAAGTGGCATATCCCCGATGCTTCACAGAACGGTCTGGAAAGACTTAAAGTACATATTTCCAATTTTTCTATTATTTTAATAGAACACATGATTTCCAAGACTTTGGAAAGTAGCTGTGCACATACCTTGAGACCTTAACTGGTATCTCAAAAATACTCAAGTTGAGTAGCAAAGAGCAAAATTACTAATCACTTCTGAAACTCTCAACAAAGTGAGCAGACTTTGGCACCCACTTTAATAAGATACTTTGGACTAAAATTATTGATGCTTCTAAACACTTTGAGATCCTCCACTGGAAGACTTAATAGATGCATGCTATTGACCTTATTATGGGGGAAAGAGATACCTGCTAATGAATCTTGTCGCATACAAGTTCTGCACCATAGCATACAATTCAATCACCCTTCTTTGGATGTCAAATTCTGAAATCACTGAATGCAATGGAGTTTAAGCCTCTGCCTCAGCTAACAGGCAGAATCTGGCCTGTGGGGCTTTGCACATCTCCAGAAATTGAGTGGCAGGAGAGTGGTGGCAGCATTAATTGCCATAGCTTCCAGAACCATGGCAATTAACACTGCCACTGTTCCCCTGCAACCAAATTTGTGGAGCCATAGAAAGCCATGTGAGCTGAGTGACAAGGTTTGCCCAGATTGCCCCAACATCTGAAGTCAGTCTGCAGCTGAATCTGGCATGTGGGACCAGGCTGAATCCCCATGTCATACCTTCATATTGACCACATGCTGGACCTGGCCTGCAAACTGGCCCCACACCATGCAGGGCCAGGTTAAGCTGCTGACCTAATATAAATATTTACTATATAAAATGGTATAAAAATACAGCAGTCTTCAAAAGCTTATCCAAGCTTTGATTAAAAGATGGCCCATACCCTGAAAAGCTTGCCATGTAAATTTAACATACAACCAGTAGGAAAGAAAAGAAGAATGTAAGATCACATTAACAGTGAAAGTGATACCTAGGTTGTGTAGTACTTTTGATTACCCACATTTTTTTCAATAGATGGGAAAACTTGGACATACAGGAATGGATTCTAAAGGTCATACAGGAGGGCTAACAGTAGTGCCAGAAACAGAACCCAGGATGGCTAGCAGGCTATTGAAAAATTATATCATCAGATAATATATATATTATCAGTATTGATTAGTTTTCATTGTCATCACCTGTTATTATAGGCCATTTCACAACTAAAGTCATTTCCCCCCCAGAGAGAATAGTGGCTTTATGGATTACTTTGGAGAAAGCAAATTGATACTGCATAGAATAAGGTGCTCTTGGGAGAAATGAACTAATGGGAAGTGGAGGTTAGTATTATAGCCATAATAGAGGGAATGTTTTCCAGGGCCTTATAAATAAACAAAATATGCATTCAGCATGATAGGGAAGAAGCAGTGACTCAAAAGTTATGGTTGTAACAGGTCAGATCAGTATTAGCAGTCATGTTTTAATTGGGCCCAGTGCAGCTCAACTGGGTGTCAGGAAAGCTATTTATTGAGAAGGAGACTGAAATATTTAATAGGGTATAAGGGTATGGGTGACAGTTTTGGTAGCTAGATGAAGAGAAAAAAGGACAGGTCTTAAAGAAAACAATAAAGCAAGCAGCAGCAAGATGTGGAAATGAGCTGGGTGTAAAAGTCTAGAGAGACATTAGATTGGAAAAAACACGTAAACCATGGGTCCAAGTTACTATACAACTGTGGAGCTGTAAATGATAAAAAAAGAAATTAATGGAGCTGGCTTCCAAGATTTTCATTCCTAGCCTTTTCTGTGAGCCTTTCCCCCCTCTTTACAAAGAAACCAAAGTGGTAATTTAAAGATTTCACAATATTTTTGTACTTGTAGATGTGAAACATCCTGTGTAGATGGATACCTATGCTTACAACTGAAGATATTACTTAACTAAAAAAAAAAAAAACTTTATAAGTTGCTAATAAATGCCTGGCATTAAGGTTAAAGAAAAAAATGGAAATCAGTAAAAATGAAGCTGAATTTGACAGTGCTGCTAAAACCTGTGATAGCTGCTACCTAGTGGATGTTTAACAGGAGGATGAGGGAGAGGAGGAAAGGGTTGGAAGAAGTGGTGTAGCATAGGAGGGGAGAAGGGGACACTAGTCCTGCTGGGAGGGGGGTGGGCAAAATATAGATAGCCAATCATCGATCCTCTGGATCATGGTGAACATGGAAGAGGTATAGTCAAATGCCTGATGAATCCATTTGTGGCTGACAAACCCAAATTTGAGAGCAACATAGCTTGTTACAAGTTTCACAGGTCCATATGCTGTCTGAGCTGGAGTCCAAGTTTACAGCATGCTGCTTTCTTTCTCACTTTACTTCCATCTTCTGGATCAAATCCACTTCATGTTAGCTGTATCCAGTGCCAGATGTTCCCTCCAGACCAGATGGGATTCCACATGCTCCTCCCAGCTTCATGTTTATGTTGAATTACTTCATATACAATATTGCACACATCATGATACCATGCATGTTGGTCCTGGATGCTTCAGTACCTGTGTGTTTGGCATTTTGTCTTCCTCCTTCATTTTCAGGATCTTACATGGACATCACACATGGAAGCTGTTCAGTCTCTTGCTGTGTCTAGCATAGGTAGTCCACGTTTCTGAACCATAAAGAAAGGATGACAGCACACAAGTCTCGTAGATTTGCATCTTCACCTTAGTATGTGTCTGTAACAGAACAGCTGCTTTTCCGATTCCGTTAGTTAGGTCTTGTAGGTTGTAAACCACATCCAACTGGAGGGTTTGGTGGCAATGTGGTGGGACTATTTGTGGCTAGGTAGCTCTTATAAAATACAAAAACACTGCAAACTCCAGAGTAAGGTGAATTTAGGGACGTCTCAAAACCCTAGCCCTCACTGCCTTGTGGATACTCCTGGGTTGCAAAAATAAAGACCCGAGCTACAGAACTGGCTGCTGCCAAGGTGCCAGCAGCACAGCCAATCATACCTGCACCATCTGCCCCTGCAACCTAGGATATTAATAATCCAAGGTACTTTACTTAGCCAGAAAATGAACTTCTCTTTTAATTTTTTCTCCTTTGTGCCAAACTGTTGTAAAAATCAGAAAGAATTAAATGAAGAGGCCTACCCCTAGGTACAATTGGGACACAAATGCATCCTCCTGCCCTAAATGGTAGCAAGGACCAGTATAAAAGAGTTACACACCTGTGTTTCCAATTTTCATCTCACATAAAACCACGGAGGTCTCAATACCAAAATATATTTACACTAGAGGAAATTATACATTTCAAAGTATGGGTAAAATGGTCCAAGTATGGCCTACAGAGAGACTCATCATCATGGAGAATATTTAGGGCAAAAAATGGTTCTAATCTTGCATTTGTTCAGCCACTTGGACGAGGGGGTAAAAAGCACCCTGTTCAAGTTTGCAGATGACACTAAGATGTGGGGGGATGTGGGCAGGCTAGAAGGGAGGAATAGGCTGCAATTGGATCTGGACAGGTTACAGGGGTGGGCGGAGGAGAACAGGATGGGTTTCAACATTGACAAGTACAAGGTGAAGCACCTGGGGAGGAAGAACCAGCAGCAGACCTACAGGCTGGGGAACTCCCTTCCCACCAGTGCAGAGGCAGAAAAGGATCTTGGAGTCATTGATGCCAAAATGAACATGGGCCGACAGTGCGGGGATGTAGTCAGGAAGGCCAACTGTTCCTTCCGTCGTGCATCCACAGATGCATCTCAAGCAGGTCCAAGGAGCTGATCCTCCCCCTCTGTGTGACACTGGTCAGGCCGCAGTTGGAATAGAGACTAGTTACCTGTACGGTTTTATTTATCAGAAGCTGAGGGATGCTATCTCTTCAAGGCATAGTTGTACTTTGTCTTCTTAGGAAAATATACTGATCATAAAAGTTTTGCTTTACCTGGAAATCACTGTTTACTAATAGTCATCAAAAGTTACACTTCATTACAGTGTTATCAGTTTTAACCAGATTTTTATTCTTTAAATGCTTTGCAACCTTTATGTCAAGTTGTTTCATCTCAGTAAATTTCAGTAATGGAATTTAGGAAGTACCTCCTAGTTGCTTCTAAATTGAAGAGCCCAAGTTTAGTCAAAAAAGTAAAGTTAAAGCTATGGTATCA